TTCCCTCATAACCAATTTTTGCCAAATTCTCAATGAGAACATCCCAAACAAAATATCCATTAGCAAAATAGTTAGCTGCAACCCAAAAATATCCCTAAAATTCAAGCTTCTAAACATAAGGAGCAAAAAAAATAATAATAATAAACCTAGCAAATCACTGGGTTTGACCCAGCATATCACTGGGTTCTTAAGGACCCAGCAGATCGTTGGGTTCTATCAAACCCACCCGACATATCTATATTGTTTCGAAAAGGAGATGATTAAAACCCAAGTCGGCAAACAAGGATCTAAGGGGAAGAAGATGAACAACAAGAGAGGTTGGAGATGAAAGGCAAGGGGTCACGAAAGGAGAAAGGAAAGAAAGTGATGTATGGTTAAAGATGAGGGTAAAAACATAATTTTATTTTTAAAATTAGCTTTATAATTTAACCTTTAATTTTTGGTTGAAAATTACATGTAAAGTATTTTTTATCACATTGTCAGTCCTACGTGTCAAGATACTTTAACACGTCATCTTTTTTCGTCAAATAACGGGACACATGAGCAAATATTTAACGAAAAAACCAAGTTAAGGTTAAAATGGTAAATAGTAGGGATTAAATCAAGGATTTTTTAAGTTGAGGGACTCAATCAAAGGTCTGTACAATAGTTGAAGGATCCAAATGGAGGTTAACCTATTTATTTTAATCACACAATGAGATGAAATCTTCTCATTTTTTATTTTACCTCATTTATATACTATGCTACCTCATCTAATGCATTACACAATTTAAATTCGAAATATTATACTTTTAACAAATATATATATATATATAAAACTGAAAACATTGTACAGTCTCAATGAGATCAATCTTAACATCTCTATTTTAACGTTGAAAACAGTCTAGACTGTGCACCCATTTTTGTTGATGTACCTTTTTGTTTCTTTGTTGTACCTTTTTGTTTTTTTGTATAGATCACTCGGTATCCAAAAATTTATTGGTTCACTGATTAATCCAGATTTGAACTGAGCAGTACCTAATAGACGACAAAGCTCTTCTTCTCGAGTTTTAATGGAATTGTATTCTCAAGACTTAAAATCCAGAGTTCTGATTAAATTAGAAGAGTCCGTTACTAAGTCATCCACTCGCTCGTGAGTGCTAGATGTACCTTTCTAAATTGTAATTCTGTTCACAGTTGCTTATGGGCCTGAGATTCGGTTAGCATTGGACATTTGGACTATCTCGGTAGGTCCAAGTTTCTAACCTTACGTTTTATTTATATAAATCAACGGATTGTAGCAAAATTTTCGTTAAAATTTTGGGAAGAATAAAAATCTTTATTATTTTTTATTAAAAGAACCTACTAAAAAAAAAAAGAACCTACTCAAAAGATTCTACTCAAATTTAATAAAAATCCTTATTTTAAGGCTCTTATTTTATCGTTTAG